GGTCCTTTCCTTCAGAGGCTCTCCCTATAGGAAGCCCATGGCTGGTTGCGTAGCTCAAGCAACCTGAGAACCCCACACAAACATAGATGATGGTTTGGAGGCACAAAATAGAGGGCTGTTACTGGGAGGGGGGTGCAGTGGCATCCCTAGGGTTGGCGTCAGTCACCCTGTGCAGTATCTCATGGTGTGTCCCCCCCCACCTCCATTGACTCCTTCCAGAACCTTTAGTCATTTTTTGGTACTCATATTACTCATTAATCGTAATTCCTGCATATCGCTGAATGTCATGGGAACAGTTGTGACATAAAGCAACTAGCAAAATTAAAATTATATCTTCCAATTACAATATCATATGCCACAGCCTCGGTGCATTTACATACACATAGTTTCATGTGGTTGAAGTGCAAAATTTGGTAAAAGGTGATGTTTGTAAAGAAAAAATTAAAAAGAGTATTTTTTAAAAAACAAATTAAAAATAAAATAAAAATTATTTTTTAATTTATAATTTAAAACACACACATACACACAACACCCCGGGACCTCTCTTTTCTCCTTCCGCTGCGACTCACCCTACTTACACCATCTCTTTGACATTTTAAAGAAATGCAGGTGAATGCCACAGCCTGTTTTTGCCCAAAGGCAGATGATGTTTAGGGAGCAAAGGTGTCACTCCCTCTTAGGGTGTCACCTAGTGTGGTCTGCACCCCTTGCACTGCCTTAGTGATGCCACTGGCTCTTTCTATAAGAAGCCCATGGCTGGTTGTGTAGCCCAAGCAACCTGAGAAACTTGGTTTGTAACCCCCCACCCCCCCAAACACACAGGATAATTTGGATGCACAAAATGGAGGTCTGTTACTGTGGTGTGTGTGTGTGTGTGTGTGGAGGTTGTAGGAAAGGAGGCAGAGTTCCCTCCACTCCAGTCACTCGACATTCATTCTGATAATGTGTGTGTATGTGTGTGTTATTCTAGATCTGTTGCTGGTCTTCATGTTTAATAATAATAATAATAATAATAATAATAATAATAATAATAATAATAAATTTTATTTATATACCGCCGATTGGTGACCCAATCCGGGCGGTTCACAACATTAAAATAATACAGCCTAAAACCAACGTATTTCCCACCCACCCCTTAAAAAACTATTAAACCAGATTTAATTAAAACCAATTCCAACAAATTTAAAATATACAATAATAATAATAATGTTGTTGTTGTTGTTGTTGTTGTGTGCCTTCAAGTCATTCCCAGCCTCTGGCAACCCTAAGGTTTTTGTTGCTGTTGTTGTTGAACTAGTTATTGTTGCTTTGTCCCACAACTACTCCAGGTATTTGTAATCACTTTTATGCCATTTCTTTTACACAGCAAGCTTGCTATTCCCTGCATTAACCAGTTGATAACAATGTTATGCTTGTGTTTTCCAAACTTTGGCCCTCCAGGTGTTTTGTACTACAGCTCCCAGAAGCCCGCCTAGCCATTTGAGCCAACAATCAGGAATGATGGGAGCTGAAGTTCAAAACATCTGGAGGACCAACGTTTGGTTCCAAACTGTGTTTTTTTGTGTGTTGCAATAAAAAGAATCAACAGTTTTGTTGCAGCTTAATAAGAATTGTGTAACTGCTACCAACCATTTTGCTGTGGCATAAGAGTCAGCATGGTATAGTGCAGGGGTAGGCAACCTTTCCCCTTTAAGGGCCGAGGGACTTCAGCTCCCAGAAGCCTCAGCCATTTTGGCCAGTAGTCCCATGTTGGCCAATAGCTCCTGGGATTCTGGGAGCTGAAGTCCTTCGCCCCTTAAAGGGGAAAGGTTGCCTACCCCTGGTCTAGTGGTTTGAATGTTAAAGCTATGACTCAGGAGTCCAGGGCTCGATTCCCAGGTCAGCCATGGAAACCCACTGGGTGACCTTAGGCGAGTCACACTCTCTCATCGTCAGGAGAAGCCCATGGCAAACCT